CAAATATTAGAAAATTACCTTCACAAAGAGCAAGCTTAAACCTTCCTTCCTTGCAATGTGTTGAAAGCAAAAAGCTCGTATATGATCAATCTCTGCATTGTGATTCATGGAACCTATATGTGACTCTGAATCTTAAATGCATCCCCATTATCACAATTAAAATGCTTATGAAATCTAAAGAACAAATCATGAATGTTCATGGAATATTTTTTTTCTTTTTTAATTGGTAGAAAAATATGAAAAGAATTACATTCGGAATTATAGTCCAATAGTTGTAAAAACTCTAAAAACCAATCTAATAACTAACCAAGTTAAGAAAGAACACCATAATGGGGATATAATAAACAATACAACAAAGACTATCATAATTATTAAATTTAACATTAAATATTGCATTAATTAAATTAAATATGATACGATGAGATATAATACATAGAAATAAAGACAGGAAATGGATTGTCTACTCTTAACAAATAAAGATAAGCTTTTTAATTCTAAATTAAAGAATTCAAAATGAATCAAATCTTTCCCAAGGTAAGATACATTTGATCTTCATTTAGAAAAAAATAAACTTAGTAATCTTATTATTAAGTATAAAGCTTTTTCCACGCTCTATTTATATGCAACATATACAAATTTTTCCAACCAACTTTTCATCTAATCACACAGAGAAAACAAGCATTAAAAAGTGACTAAGGAGAGAAAATTTGTAATCTGCTCCACATTTGTTGGTGTGTAGGTTAAATTAGCTTTTGGTGTGGAGACTAAAGCAACAATAAAAGGTGGTATTCTATTCAACCATAACTACATGGCTCCAATAGAAAAGCAGTGCCTAACCACAAGGAAAATTCAAGCATACCAATAGAAACAAAGAACAGAGCAAAAAAGAAAAAAAGAAGAACATTGAAACCTCTTTATGCAAAGATTAATAATTAACATTTTTTCATAACTCAATTTGAACACAAAACAACCTACAAAAAAGCTGAGAAGATTTTCATCTTCTTATAAGGAAATTCCTTTTTCATACAAATCTGTGCCCATATTGTTTATCAACAGAAAAATTGAAACTAGACGTATAAGAAAATTAGTCCATAGAAAATTCTATCACAATGAGTAGATATAAATTCTTCATAGATACAAACTCTAAACTTGAAATTGAAATGGAATGCAACGTAATAATAGAGAGAAAAGGTTAATAACATAAAATATTCTTTATGATTTTAACAGCAAAACCAAACATATTAGGTGAAATCGTTGTGAAGTTCAAGAAGAAGAGATCAAATTGTTCAGGTGGGAATTTATTACCTAGGTTAGAGGCCAAGAGGTTGAAAGAGAAGCAATTGATCATTCTGTATCACGAAAAGACGTCGAACTCGATGAAAACAATTTCCTTCTGATCACGTAAAATCTATTAGATTAATATATATGCAGATTAATCATCTGTAGTCTTCCTTCTGATCATGTCTGCAATTTGTGACAAAATTAAAGGAGAGAGAGAATGATGCAGTTTAGTGAATCAATTTCCTCCAAACCATTGTTTGATCAAATATGAAATTGCTATCTCATTTCTCTCTACAAGTACGAATTAGTTACCTGGTGAATGAGAGAGGAGAGATCGGAATGGACGAGAAGGAGGCGATCGATGTCGTCGTTTTCAATTAATCTTCGTTCATAGGAAGAAAATTGATGCCGATGGAGCGAAAGGAAAAAGAGAGAGACATTCAATCTGGGTTCTTTCTCAACAAAGGAAATTGATTACTAGAGATCCAATATTAGGAGAAACTTATTACATATCACCATATTAAACCAAATTACCCCAATCTGGGTTCGATTGATGCATCAACAGTGTGAAGTAGAAAATTATTGGCGATGGCGATTTGTAGCGGTGGCGACGTGCGACCGATGTGAGCAATGTTGGTGAGGGACTTCGGTGAGCAAGAGAGAGTGGGCACCGATTGAGAGAGAGAACACAGAAAGAGGGAGGGGCGGGCCAACATGGAGAGACACATATTAGGGCTTTTTTTAGATAGAGACAAGGGAGATCAGGGCTTTAATTTTTTTTCTGAAATTCAATTCCCGCCCCACGTTTCAAATTTCCCCTATGACATAGAAGAGCAATTATGAAGAATTTTGTGAACCTAGCCTTTAGATGGAATCGTCTTAGGTCTAGAAATTCATTTTTTCACATTTTGCTAAAATCCAAACCTCTTTCGTGCCTCAGAATGATTTTTGCCCAACATAAACTCTTTTTGAACTTCTAATTATATCCATGTGTTTTGAACATTTTCAAAGTTGATTTCAAGTCCTAAAAAGTCCAAAATTTGATTTGAAAACGATCTAGAATCAACCTGGGAAAAAACTAACGGCCAGCACCAAACAAGCCCTAAATGACCGGCAGATCATTCTGTTAAACACCAAAGGGCCAGAGTACAAGGAATTTACAAAAGAAAAAGGTCCCAGTTAATGTATTTAATGTATACTTGATTTGCTTTCTTTGTTTCGCATTCTTTTTGCCATGTTTAGCTTCTAGGCTTCTAGTTTTTCTTATTTAATTCATGTTTATTGCTTTAGTTCTTCTCATGTTTTTGTTCATGCATTATAACATGTCTAGACTAGTTCGAAATCGCTAGTTCACATGAATATTGATTACGATTGCATTAAAGTAGAGTCTTTCACACTTTTTCAATTTGTAACCATCTTTGGGGGGCATTTTTCTCTTACAACGGTATGAAGTTCTATAAAAACAGTTTTAATTAGCTCATAAAAAACTAGGGGCGAATGAAAACAAATTGAACACTCAAATGTTCTACTTTTTCAGTTTTTAGAGAAAAAAAAAATTAGAAAGATTGAGACTTCGATGAGACTATTCAGAGGAAGGAGAGGAGGAAGCAACGTACCAAGTAAATAGCCTTCTTTGATGAGACGATTGAGAGAGATTGAGACTGAGCTCCTTCATATTTGCTCCATTAGAACTTTTGTGCATTTTGATAAAACCCTTGGAAGCCAAAGAGCTAGGGTTGTGTAATCTGATATATTTATTTATTTATAAATATATTTTTTGGGGCTTTTATATTTCAATTGTATAAGAAAAAGGGGTTTTCTTCAATCCATGTCAATCAAATTAATTACAGGAGGCAAAAACTACAGGTTTAGCAAATTCAAGGTGAAGAAACTCTTGAGAGGCAAAGATCTGAAAAGTTGAAAATTATAGTTAGGGTTTGAAATTGGGAAAACGAGAGCGAGAGAAAGAGAGAGAGAGAAAGAGAGAGCGTGTTTACCTGATGCAAGAGGTCTGAAATCGAGAGGATTAGCAATGGTAGAGTGTAGGCGACTCCACGCACTGCTACCTGGTTTGGTCAGTTTGCCGCCGACCTCTGCCTTGGTCAGTTCGCCGCTGACCTCACGGTGGGGAAATAGGGCGACGCAACCACGGTGTGAGACATTTTTGGTGGTGGTGGTTTTGAATGGTGGTCTAGGGTTTGTGCTTGTGTGAATAATAGAGAGAAACAGAAACAGATGGAGACAGTGAGAGAAACAGGGATACATTGTGGGCATATTTTGATATATTTGTTTGTTTGTTTGAGAGAAACAGATGAGAGAGGAGAAAATGAAAATGTGAGAGCTAACAGATTGCTAAAGATAAAAAATTTCAATTCCCGCCCCACGTTTCAAATTTCCCTCACAAATTTTTGGCGACCAAAATACTAAATTAGTCGCAGAAAAGGTACCCTTCGCCGACAATTTTTTTTAGTTGCCAAATCTCAATCAACGGCGACTAAAATATTAGTTGCTAAAAGTGCTAATTTGGCGACTAATTTTTTTTGGTTGCTGAAAATAAGTTTTTGGCAACCAAATTTTTGGTCGCCAAAAAAAATGTCACCTTCCACGACCAAATTTGTAGTTGGTAGCCAAAAGTATACCACTTTCCGCGACCAACCCTTTTTTTGGTCGCCAAAATATAACCTTCTGCGACCAATAATATTTGGTCGCCAAAAATAATGATCATTCACGACTAATTAATATTTGGTCGGCAAATGTCATTTTTTTGCGACCAAATTTTTTTTTATCGGCAAAAGTGGTCGGCAAATGTGTGAATTCTTGTAATGTTATTATTTAATTTTAAAAATTAATTTTTGATTATTTATTTATACCCATCCATAGCACTAGTATGTATATATTAACGAGTATCTTAAAGATATTAATTTTAAAGTTATTAATTAGCAACATTTAAAATGATTGTGTATTTTTTATTATACATATGTTTATAAACAACGTACAGCTATTATAAACTTCGTAACAAATGCACTAAAGGCAATTATAAATAAAATCTATTTTTTTTATACTTATCTTGTAAATTTCAATCCTTTTATTTTTTTATTTAGTTTAGAAAAATTAAAATCACTAGACAATGACAGTTGGAAAAATATTCTCTTAATTTTGAATTTTTTAAAATATGATAATTTTTATGATATTGATGGTTTAGAATTATTGTCTAAATTAAAATTATCAAAAGAATTTATTCAAATAGGCGAAAAGAAAAGCACATCAATTAATATATTACATTAGATTATTTATCTTAAAATATTATTAACAATACTTATAACAATTGCTTTGGCACAAAAAAAAAAATTCAAAATTAAATTTGATAAATTATCACAACAAATATTAAGTAGATTAATTATTTTATCAATATATTTGAAAATCGCTTTTAGATAAAAATATTTTAAAAATTATAATTAATAGTATTTCATTGTTAAAAAGCTGGAAATTTGCCGATTAAAAAGTTAAAAACGTTGAAAAGTAAAAATTGGGTTTGATGGAGAAAAAAGCGGTAACGATTCCGAGAATAGTCAGTAATAAGTTGAGTGGTCAAATAAATATTAGCCACCATTGCGCGCGAAAATTCCAACCGTGTGAAACGTTATTTATGCCAAGTTTGGCAACACTAAAATAATTTATTTTTTTATTTTTTATTTTTTTATCACATCACTTCTTTATTTTTTTGCACATCTTTTCATAAAAAGACAAAAAATACATTTATTTAGGTCATCCCAAACAACCCCTTAATAAAATAAAATAAAATAAAAGATTTCTATTAAACTTAAACAAATATAAAATAAATATATTAATCATAATAATTTTGTATTTATTTATCAAATTGAGTAAATTGTTTCCGATAATTTTTTTTTTCTATCAACTTAAAAGTAGTTAATATTTGAACCAAAATCTATGATATTTATGGAAAAAAACTCATTGAAATACTTCTATTGATTTATTATTATTATTATAAGAAATAGAAGTAGGAGTTTAAAACTCAATGCATGAGTTACCAAAAAAATGAAATTCGAGCTATTTCTATAATTGTTTGTAGAAGAAAAGAAAAGTATAAAGATGTACCACAATGATGAATAAAATTTAAAAAGAAAAAAGAAAAAATGCTATGTTTGGATCTTAAATTTATGAAAAATATATATAAAGAAATTGAATCACTTATACATATTATTTTTTATGAATAATTAAACAAAAAATAGACTTTTGACAAGTAATTACACTCTCTTTTTAGATTATATTAGTAAATCAAAAAAAGAAAAGAAAAGAAAAGAAAAGATTGTTGTACTTTTATTTTCCCAACTTTTCCTTTTCTTCTTGATCCACAAATTTAGAATCTAAACATAATAAAAATTGTTTGTTTTAATCAGAAAATCAAGCCGCATAATTATGAGAGAAAAAAAGAAAGGAAAAAAAAAAATTCTCATCAGTTGACAAACCACAACCAACTCCAAAACTCTAGTAACTTTAGCTTTGTCTTTGCTTCAATCTTCACCTACGCAACTCTACTTTCATACCCATCTTTCTCTCAAAATCCAAAGGTCCAAGCCGAAACTTCTCTTAATAACAAAAGAAAGAGATCAAATAAAAAAATCAAATGCTAAGTAGTGTGTGATGAAGAAAAAGATCCACCATTCTCATCCCCTTCCACACTTGAGCTTTTCTCGCTTTTACACCATCTTTCTCATATTCATCAATGCCTCTAAATTCACCAATGGAGGAGACACTCTCACCATCGACCCGTCTCTCGATATCAAAAACCCTAGACTGAAAAATGCTTACCTTGCACTACAAGCATGGAAACAAGTCATCATCTCAGATCCAAACAACAATACTGGAAATTGGATCGGATCCGATGTGTGTAATTACACCGGGGTATTCTGTTCAGAAGCACCCGATTCTCCTTCAGAACGTACCGTTGCAGGCATAGATCTCAACCAGGCCGACCTTTCTGGCCACCTCCCAGATGAATTAGGGCTACTATATGACATTGGATTGTTTCATATAAACTCTAACCGATTTTGTGGTACAATCCCTCGTAGTTTCTTGAACTTCAAGTTACTGACAGAGTTAGACCTAAGCAACAATCGCTTCTCTGGCAAGTTTCCTTGTATTGTACTCCAACTGCCCGAGCTCAAATACCTCGATATCCGGTTCAATGAATTTGAAGGTGGGCTTCCCTCAAAACTATTTGAGAAAGATCTCGATGCCATTTTCGTTAATGATAATAGATTTTCTTCTGAATTGCCTGAAAATATTGGAAGCTCGCCTGTGTCAGCATTGGTCTTAGCCAATAATAAGTTTCGAGGGTGCCTGCCGGCAAGTTTGAGCAATATGTCAGAAACCCTAAACGAGATAATTCTCCAGAACAACGAGTTTCGATCATGTTTTCCAAGTGAGATTGGGATGTTGAAGAAAGTAACTGTGTTCGATGTAAGTTATAATTATTTTATGGGGTCGTTGCCGGAGAATGTTGGAGAGATGATGAGTTTGGAGCATTTGGATGTTTCTCACAACATGTTGTCTGGGAAGGTTTTGGAGAAGGTGTGTTTGATCCCGAGTTTGGAGAATTTTAACTATGATTACAATTTCTTCACCGATGAGTCGTCTGTGTGCTTGAATTTGCCCGGTTTTGATGATCAAAGGAATTGTTTGAAAGGACGACCAACACAAAGATCTACAATACAATGTAGACAATTGTAAGTGTTTTTGTCTTCGATCCAGTTAATGTAATTGCTTTTAAATTGCTAAAGTTGTTGTTCCTTCTCCTCAATCCACCACCACCGCCGCCCGCGTCACAGCCACATAATTGCACATGTCACCGATGTTTTCACCCCACCCCCCACACTCATGCCACCACATCACCGCCACCTACATCACGACACCTCATCCTCCACAATTTACCACCACCACCACCACCACCCATTCATAGCAATTCATCTCCACCTCCACCTCCAACGCCTATTATTGCCACCTCCCCACCCAAATCCACCTCCACCACCACCACCATTAACCCCTGTGGTAGAACCACCTCCCCACCATCACCCCCACCATGTCAGCAACATCTGGTCTTCACCTCACCTTCACTAACTCCACTACCATTGCCGCACAATTATTCCATATCCATATAATTCCCCCACCACCAAATTCTAAATCTTTTGGGATTCTCTTCAATGATGAAAAGACAATGAATTTAGCTACTAATTTCAAAGCACAAAACAAGAAAAGAAATTTAGAATGGAACAAAGAATTATGTAAAATTTTGTCAAGGTTTTAAATAACGGTAATTTATATTCGCAATACAATTATATATCACAGATATTTAAAACCATTATTTTCTGCAATTATTTTAAGAATCGGTTAGTGTATGATGCAATTCCAAGGTTTTTTTTTTTTGGTGCCCTACAAGAGATGGAAAAGTGTGGTCAAGAAATGTTTATCCAATGTTTGTTTTGTAGTGTATTGGTGTTTTGATAGTTAATAAAAAATAACAGACATAGAATATAGGTTCAATTCAGGATAGATGGAATTTCCTGAAAACAAATGAAGAGCCAGCTTAGGGTCTCTTTTCTATTTGAAATTTTGTTTTTTTTCTACATTTCATTTTATAAATCTTTTCTATTTGCACATTCTGTGTTAGCTTTTTTACAATATTCATTTAGTTGGTCACAATTTCACTTTTCGGTTTGTTCTTTCTTTTGTGTTTGATTAATTGATAATTATATATATATATATGCGAATATATAAAGATTTGAATAAACTCTTAAACTCTCATCGCTAGGGGTGCTAGCGGGGGGCTGTGCCCTTCCACATTCTCAAAACTTCACTAACTATATACATAAGGTGCATTTGGCTCAGTTGGTAGATTAGAAGGGATGGCCCCTCAAGCTCTCATCACTCCTAGGGAGGTGCCTAAAGTTAATAAGTTTTTTAAAAACTCATTAATTTTAAAGTTTATTAATTTTATATTAATAAATTTTTAATATAATTAAGAATTTACACTCCTAAGTTATCGATGCTAAAGGTTTTTTATTTTTTTAATTTTATATGTAGCGTCTCTAATTTATTTTGATATTTTTATCCAATTGCATAAGGGTGATAATTGATGATTTGGTGTGGAACAACATATGGGTGCCTTATAAGACCACCCCACCGCAAAAAAAAAAAATTAATAATAAGTCCGTAAATTTCTTCTTGTTTGTTCAAAGACCTTCATATTAAAGAGAAATGTTAGGATCTATGAATTTTTTTCATGGAATATCTGAAAAATTTATGACTCTTTAAAATGACTGATTTTTGACAATTTCGATTTTTTTTAACGTTGTTATTGAGGTCTTTGAACAATGTCATTTTTTATTAGTTTAAATATATTGTGAATAAATTTCAAATTTTAATTACAAATAGGATAAGGTAAATGCATTTTACATTAAAAATTTATACATAATAAAATATTAAATGTTAAAAAAAGACTTAATTTTTGAGATTTTCCTGAACTTCTATTCCTAGCATTCAAGATTGAATAATATTTAATTTTATAATTATAAAAGTGTATATTTAATATATTTATATACATGATTCGTTGAAGAAAAAAATAAAATTATTATGATTTTGCACGCATTCCGCCCCTAATTAGAATTTTTGTCCATCACTGCTAAACTACATCATACTGATATAAAGCATTGCCAGTTGGGAGGATTATAATAGAGTAATACTTATAACTTAATAAATTTAATTTTGTATATTTGTGACATTTATCACTATCATTATTTTGATAGGCCTTCACTAACTTGAAGGATTTGGCTGATCAAGTAAAAGTACATTTTTGGATGTGTGAAAATTAAACAATAAAATTTTTTTTTTTTTTTAATCACAAAGATCGTTCAGTATTAATTAAAAATTGAATTAAAAAGCTGTCAACAAAAGTTAGGCTAAAATTGGAAATGTGTTAGTATTTATAGGATAATATCTTCATTAGATTTTTGGTAATATGTTTATAGCAAACAATACTTTATGCTTTAAAAAAATGTTTTGTGCCAATTTATTTGACAAAATGAGGATATAACATATCATTATATGAATTGATAGCCATACAATAGCACAATTTAATATAATGCAAAAACATAAATAACATTTTTTCATAAGGCAAACGATCTAACGGACGCATTCAACAATGCAAAAACAAATTAGGGGGGATGACAATAGCTTTGCATGATGCAAAACTAGTGTGCTATGCATCAAATGAAGAAGACTTCAAAACATTCTTATATTTGCAATTTGGTGAGCAGTTCCAAGCACCCTTTCCATTTTCCCCATCTGCAATTTAAAAAAAAATAAAATAAAACCTGAAATATTTAATATAGATTTAGTTAGTAGACCAAACAAAAAACAGTGTTATATGGCAAATTAGTGAAAACAAATGTAATACAGATACGAGAATTCTTGTTTTAACTCGAGAATTGAGTATAAATATAGTAAATGAAAAGGGACTAGATGGAGTTTTAGTTCAACGCAGAGAAAAATTCAGTCTATTTAATACTCAAACATGAGAAAAATGAATCTATTTGAAAAAAATTAAGAAAAATGGTATGAAATCAATAAAAAAATGTGTTTTAAACTTGATAGGGAAATATATTTGTTATTTTCTTTTAAGAAAATAACAAATAAACAAAACTTAGCCTCATCTAGCTAAGATTTGGGTCTAATAAACCATAAAAACAAAATAAGTTATAAAGTTAATAAAAGTAAATATACTTTTTATCTTAAATGTATTACACGTTTTTTTCTCACAAAAATAAAAAAAACTCAAAACAAAAAACCAAATAAAATTAAACAAAGACCAGGTTAAAAAATCTCAAACTAAAAAATTGATTATATACCAAGATCAATGACCCATTAGTGCGCACCGTTATATCATTGTAGTGTGTTATGTTTCAATTTATTAAAGAAAAATGACATTAAAAACGCCAGCTTGTGGTGCTAGGTGTTTGATTTGCGTCAAAACACTGTTGTTGTTGTTTTTGTATTATTATTTTTTTTTTTTTTCATTGGCAGCCCCCCCACTGGGGTGGGGGTGTTGGGGTTCGTCGTACAGGGGCGGAGCAGCGCCCTTAATAAAGTGTGCCATTAATGCATGATGGCATTCAATAATAATACTAAAAAAATAATAAAATTTGTTGGTTTGATAAATTTTTTCTTTTTATCTAAATGTATTGTAGGTCAAGTTTGGATAATATGAAAAAATTTAAAAGTCAAAAAGTTATTCAAAAAGTTAGAAAGGTTAACATTATCTCAAAAGTCCAACAGTTTACGGCTGCAACTTCTAATCTTAATTTTTTCCTATCAAACCAATTTTTATACATTTTTTATTACATATTGTTTATAAAAAGTCAAAAAATTAATCTCAAACATTCATATTTTTCTCAATTTAATCTAAAAAGATAAAAAATGCACTTAATTTAAACACCAAGACAACCTAGACTCAAATTATTTGCATATGATTAAGAGTTGCTAACGTTTTTTTTCAGGACAAGTAGAATTGAGATGAGTACAAATTAATTTAATAGACAATGTAAGTACCCCTCAATTCTAGTGCCACCCTCGCCCAAAACCTGCAGTAAATGCAATTATCACCTCGTTTACAATTAATTGGGGTTGGATTTGGATTTAAAAAAAAAAAAAAGTATTGATATATCATATATATATATATATATGTGACAAAAATATTAATTTATTATTTTTTTATAAATGATATATATAGTTATCCACTTTTTAAGCCAATGATGATGCTGTAAGGATATGACTATGGATAATAAGTAAAAATTTGAGATGAGTATTGTTTTACAATTTATAATTATTGTCACATTATTAAACTTGAAATATATCTAATTTAAACTTAAACATCCTAAAATAATTGTTCATATTAAAGATATTTTATACAAAATGGTCATAAATTTGGTCGTAATTTTTGTATAAATACATTTTCCATATAAATCTCTAATTACATTATGAAACACACTACCATTTTTAAAAAAAAAAAAACCATTTTCCTGCCAAACAACGCCATCATAAATTTTCTCGAAACACATAAAAAAATTTAAAGTCTAGGCCAAATATCTAAGAGATATGATTAAACCCCCCAACAACACAAGATTAATTTAATATGCCCGATAAAAAGAAGAATTTAATTATACATAAAGAATAATATTTCAATGAAACTAATTGTTATAATCACATTTTATTAGTTGAAGGCATATTGAGCAAGAACGAATAACTCTACAAAATAAATAGTTTAAATTACCGAATGATCATTAAGAAATCTCATGACCCGAAACAACATTCTAGAAAAAGATATCTAGACTCTTTAATATTACAACCGTTTTGGTTTGGGATGTGGGTTAGTTTTTTGGTTTTTAATTATTTTAGCTTGGGGCTTAACAAAAATTCGTTGGGATAGACTTTTTATTTTTTTGACTTTTTTTTTAAAAATAAAATATATCGTTATAACATGTATATTTTATTTTTTAATTTTTTAAAATCTTTTTTTATCATTTTGTACTATTTTAACCCAAAATTAACATACCAACATAGCCTTAATACTTTCCCACTATATATTATATATATATATATATTATTACTTTGGGAGTGAGATATGATAATCCAGTGGGGAGTCTTGAAAATTGGAGCTCTCAACTTAAGTTAAGTTA